TTTCGTGGCCCCATAGGGAGTTCCACCGAAGGCCCCAGTGGCCGCGTCCGCATGCGTCCTCCCCGCGCAGCGGCGCAGTTCGCATGCGTGTCCCCCACCTGGTACAGCGCTTCGTGGTCCCAGAGGGAGCTCCACCGAGGTTCCCAGTGGCGCAGTTCGCATGCGTCTCCCCCACCCAGTGCAGCGTTTCATGGCCCCAGAGGGAGCTCCACCGAAGTTCCCAGTGGCGCAGTTCGCATGCGTCTCCCCCACCCAGTACAGCGCTTCATGGCCCCAGAGGGACCGTACATGGACATCATATTCGAACCCTATGGCCCAAGATGCCCCCCAGACCCCCCGAAATTAATATTGATGGCGTGACGACGGGGGGGGCGTGAGTGGATTGAAATATTCGAACCCCAAAGCACCGCCTTTTACTGAGATCAACATTGATGTCGGGGGCGCGGGGTGATTTAGAATCTCCCTCGAATGTGTAAGGGTTCGAATCGATTGTCCATCTACTGGAGCTCCACCGAAGTTCCCCGGGGCGCAGTTCGCATACGTCTCCCCCACCCAGTGCAGCGTTTCATGGCCCCAGAGGGAGCTCCACCAAAGGTCCCAACGGCGCATTTCGCATGCGTCTCCCCCACCCAGTGCACCGCTTCGTGGCCCCATAGGAGGTCCACCGAAGGTCCCATGGTGGCCGCGTCCGCATGCGTTACCCCCACCCAGTACAGCGTTTCGTGGCCTCAGAGGGAGCTCTACCGAAGGTCCCAGTGGCACAGTTCGCATGCGTCTCCCCCGCCCAGGAGAGCGTTTCGTGGCCCAAGGGGGAGGTCCACCGAAGGTCCCAATGCCGCAGTTCGCATGCGTCCCTTCCACCCAATGCAGCGCTTCGTGGCCTTAGAGGGGGCTTTACCGAAGGTCCCCGTGGCGCAGTTCGCATGCGTTTCCCTCACCCAGTTCAGCGTCTCGTGGCCCAAGAGGGAGCTCCACCGAAGGTCCCAGTGGCGCAGTTCGCATGCGTCTGCCCCACCCAGTACAGCGTTTCGTGGCCCAGAGGGAGCTCCACCGAAGGTCTAGTGGCGCAGTTCGCATGCGTTTCCCCCACCCATTACAGCGTTTCGTGGCCCCAGAGGGAGCTCCACCGAAGGCGATACCCACAACTGCGGTATTCACAACTGCACATGGTTGGGTCCTTCGCCAGGCCAGTGTATGGTTTTTGGAATGCTATGTTCTTCGGTCTTCCAGGCGTCGGAGAACGCCTCAAAGAGCCCCCAAACCGTCCCAAAACGACTTGAAAAGAACTTCAGATGGTCCAAGAAAGCTCCAAGACAACCAAACATGGGCTCAAGATGGCCCGAAGAGAGCCCCATGACGGCCCAAGACGGCCTCCAAACGCGCTCCGAAAGACTCCAACTCGTGACCTGGTCGTTGAGGGAGACCGTGGTTCGCAGCAAGGTGGCCGGAGGAAACTCCCAGTGGTCCCCAAAAGGCTCCCAGGAAGCTTCGAGAAGCCTGCAAAACGCCCCTAAAAAGGTCTCGCGAGGCCTCCAAAAGCTTTCCAAGACGAGCCTCCGCAACAAAAAGCTGAGGAGGACGGGGAAGGGTTCGCAGGGTAAGGCGAGAACGAGGAAAACAAAGTTCGAGGGAAGGAGAAGGAACAACACATTATGACGACGACGACGACAAAAACGGCAACAAAGGAGCTTCGGATCTGTATTTGCTTACTTCTCTTTCATTCCGCCCGCAGGCCGAGATTGAAGGACGAAGGCTCACGGCGCGAAGAACCAATGCACCTCTGTGAATATAGGCGCACCTGTAACTACATGAATGCATGTACACAGCTGTAGACGTCTGCGTACAAGACTGCACTGGCGCTTCGCTGCCTCGTTCCTGCTCTCTCTGTCGACACCCCCGCTGCTCCCTCCTCCCCCCCATCTCTGCGAGGGCGGGGCGGCGAGGGGGCCCGGCGTCTCGCCGTCCTGGGCCGCGCACCCTCCGCGGACGGCCTGTGTGCACGGCGCCGCCTCGGCGCCTCCCGCGGCGCCGTCGCCCTTCGACCCGGGCACGCTGCGGCGCACAGCTCCTCGCCCCCCCCGCCCCTCCCCGGGGCGAGCCCGTGCACCGTGCCGCGCTGGAGCGTGGCCCGGAGGAGTCCGGACACGGCGCGGCGCACGCGCGCCGTTCTCGTGCCCCCGGGGCCCCGCCGTGCGCACGCCGAGGGCACGCGCCGCGCACACCTTTCGGGGTCTCGCCTCCCGGGCCGCGCGAGGCGGGCAAGAGGCTGAGGCAGGGGCACCCTGGGCTCGGGTTGGGGAGGGGGGGGGGGCGAGGAGGAAGAGGAGGAGGAGGAGGAGGCGGAGGAGGAGGAGGAGGAGGAGGGGGAGGAGGACAAGAGGAGGAGGACAAGAGGAGGAGGAGGAGGAGGAGGAGGAAGAGGAGGAGGAGGAGGAGGAGGAGGAGGAGGCTTTCGGGTTTCGGGGTATATGGAGCGCCTGTGTGCACGCACAGCCCCACGCGGTCAGCCCCGAGTTAGGGCCAACCTCAAAAGAAAATCAACCTCATCAGGGCGCGGGGAAAGACATGCCACTCTTCGGAGGTTTGCCCTTGGCCAACCGCGAGAGGTTGGAGAGTCCTGTGGCCGTGGGCTTCGGTGGACACTCAGCGGCCAATTTCTGCACATTATGGACCGCGAATGCTCCACACGACCGACAAAATAGGACTCCACGAAATTCAGCGAGTGCTTGGGACAAATGTGCCCGACCAAAGCACAGATGGGCCGTTGGGTTACCCTGGGAGGAACCAGCACTGGCGGTGGGCCCAACTTGCGAGACAACCGAGGATCCCAACACCAGCGCCCCAGGACACGGACACGGCCAAAATTTAGACAACTCGCCTCGCACAGCAGAAAATTTGCGGAGGCACCGCGAACGTTTAAAGATAGCACCAACTTTCACCACGTCGTGGCCTTCAGCTCTCAACCTCTCTTTGCGAAGGTTCGAGGCTCTGGGCCCACCTATACGGTGGTGCTCTCTACCGATGCCGTCCTCTCTCGTCCGCGGGCAGGTGAGACACACATGCCGCGAGACAGCCAATAACCTTTTGAGGACCAACAACAGGAGGAGGAGGAGGAGGAGGAGGAGGAGGAGGAGGAGGAGGAGGAGGCGGAGGCGGAGGCGGAGGCGGAGGAGGAGGCGGCGGAGGAGGAGGAGGAGGAGGAGGAGGAGGAGGAGGAGGCGGAGGAGGAGGCGGCGGAGGAGGAGGAGGAGGAGGAGGCGGAGGAGGAGGAGGAGGGGGAGGAGGAGGAGGAGAAGGAGGCGGCGGAGGAGGAGGAGGCGGCGGAGGAGGAGGAGGCGGCGGAGGAGGAGGAGGAGGCGGAGGAGGAGGAGGAGGAGGCGGAGGACGGGGGCCGTTCCTCAGGCTCAGGCCGGGGAGCAGGCTCGTGGCCGAGGCCCGCCGTGGCCAGGAGCGCCCCGTCGTTCCTCGCCTGGCGCTCCGCGGTGCCGCGCGATGGCTGCCGTCGCACCCGCGGGGGCAAAAGGGGGGCCAGCCAGCGCCTTGGCATCGCTCGGACGTGTGCATTTTTCCTTCGGCGAGGACCATCGAGGAGCATCCTTGATCATTTGGCGAAAAAACCACGCACGAAACGGAAAAAGCACAGGGAACGGACGTCCGAGCGATGGCCAGCTGGGCATGTTCGGCAGGGCTCGTTTCGACCCCTCCGATTCGATCCGATTCGACTTCAGTGGCTTCCGGTTCCGATTCGATTCGGCTTCGGATTCCGACCTGGAGCTGCGATTTCTCCATGGAGGCTTGCCTACCAGCCTGCCGATTTCCGCCGATTCGACCTCTCACGACTCGGCTGCCGATTTCCGCCGATCCGAGGCATTTCGGTCGCCGATCCGACTTATCGATTCGATTCTGGGCTCTCTCGTGTGAGCGTCGGAGAAGGTTGTGACACCCTGGCCCATCTCGGGGGAGGGGGGCGCGATGCGGCGGCTCGTGGGAGCCCGGGACCCAGGGGGTCGGTGGCCCTTTGGAGGAAGGCAGCACGAGGGGTCGGTGGCTTCCTGATGGCAATCCAGTGCGTGCGGGAGGAGCGGTGGCAGATCAGAGGAAGTCAGTGCAGAGCTTAGCCGCTGGGAGCGTCCGGGGCCGCACGGCGATGGGATGCAGCCAGATCGGGGCGTTCAGGCATCGGTGCTGCTTGCTGCTGGTGCCCCCCCGTCTCCATGAGCTCCCCCTGAAAATTCCACCAAGCCCTCCAAGGAAATCCGAAGATTTAAGGTTTCCCCCCCACTCTCCAACTCCCTCCTCCCTCCCCCCTAGAACCTTCTATAAAGCCCATAGAACCATCCCAGCCCCCCGTTGTAAATCTTGTTCCTTCTCCGCTCCTCCTCCCTCTTCAGCCGTTTTGGCTCAAACCGTTTGGGCCGAACCTTCGCCGAGTCGCTGACTGCAACAGGCGCTGCCGATCGGCCGCCACCGGCCGAGAGCTGGGCATACTCCTTAGGGCGCTTTTTACTGGGGGACGGCGAAGACGCGGGGGTCTCGAGGGCTGCGGGCCCCCTGGAGCCCCTTGCGGCGCACGAAGGGGCGGACCTTTCTCCACCCCTCCCTCGTCACTGCCCCTCCTCTTCCGCGACGCCCGACTCCAGATGCACACGCACCGATCCCAGCCAGGCCCACCCTGGCCGGTGAGCACGCCTCCCCGGCAAGCCAGGAGGGCGTAGGCACCGACCCTGGGCCCAGGACGGGCCCGGCGGGGATCGGCGCACGTGCGCGGCGCTTGTTCCTCCAGTCGGCGGTGAGCGAGGGGGGAGGTGAGAAGGAGAGGGCCTTCTCGGAAGGCGGCGGGACTTCTCGGAAGCCCTCGCGCCCTTTGCGAAGTTTCTTGTGCCTCCGGGGAAGGCTTAAGTTAGGAGACTTCTCGGAAGGCCCAAGGACTTCCGAGAAGGCCCGCCCCTCCTCATTTCCCCCCCGGCCCTCGCTCGCCGCCCATCCAAGCTCCCCGCCAGATGGCCAGCAGGTGGCATTACGCGTCCTGGGGAGCCGCCGCGTCCGACCCCTGCGCCCCGAGGCCGCCCGAGCCTGGCCCGCGCCCGGCCCGGCGGCCTCTCCCAGCGGACGCGGGCGCCCACGCCGCCAGACTGCGAGGGCACCAACCGCGCGTGTGGGCCGCCCTGCAGGACGGCCATCATCACGGCGAGCCTCCCTCCGGCAGTGGTCAGCATCGTCTAACCCATCCCCATCGGTGTTTGGGCCATGGCGTCTCAGCCCCACTGGCCCATCCTCTCCATGGTGGCGACAGGCCCCGCGGACCCTGAACGAGCAGGCATCATCCCGGGTCAAGGGTTCACAGGCCTCCCCCTCTCGGATGGGAATGGGGGGAGGCGACGACGACGACGGCGGACGACGACGGACGACCACGACGACACCGCCGCCGCCTTCGACGACGACGACGACGGCGACGACAGAGGACGACGATGGACGACGACGCCGACGGAAGCCGTCGAAGACGCTGCCGACGCCAACGCCGACGACGACGGCGACGACGGCGACGACGCCGACGCCGACGCCGACGACGACGCCGACGGAAGCCGTCGAAGACGCTGCCGACGCCAGCGCCGACGACGACGACGACGGCGACGACGCCGACGCCGACGCCGACGACGACGCCGACGCCGACGCCGCCGCCGACGACGACGCCGCCGCCGACGACGACGACGACGACGACGACGACGACTGAGCACGACGACGACGACGGACGACGGACGACGGACGACGGACGACGGACGACGACGACGACGACGGCGACGACGACGACGACGACGACGACGACGGCGGCGACGATGACGACGACGGACTACGACGACGACGAAGGCGCCGCGCCGACGCCGACACCGACTCCGCCGCCTCCATGGTGGAGATAGGGCCAGTGAAACCCGAAGGAACAGGCATGCATGATCCTGGGTCGAGAGTTCACAGGCCCCCCCCCCCAGATGAGACGGGGGGGGCACGACGACGACGACGACGACGACGGACGATGCCAACGACGACAACGACGACGACGACGACGACGATGTGGACGATGCCGACGACGACAACTACGACGACTTTGACGTGGTGGGCGACGACGCCGACGCTGACGCTGACGCTGACGACGACGGCGGACGGCGACAGACGACGACGACGACGCCGCCGCCGCCTTCGACGACGACGAACTACGACGACGACGACGACGACGTCGACGACACCGACGACGGACGCCGACGACGACCGACGACCGACGACGGCCGACAACGACCGACGACGACGACGATGACGACGACGACGACGATGACGGACGGACGACGACGATGACGACGACGATGACGACAACGACGACGGCGTACGCCGACGCCGACGGCCGTCGACGACGACGATGATGACGACGACGACAAAGACGAATGGCGTCCGACGACGACGTCGACGACAACGATGGACGACCACGACAGACGCCGATGACGACGGCGCCCACGACGACAACGCCGAGGCCGACGCCGACGACGACGGCGCCGACGACAACCGAAACGACGACCCACGACGCTGACGACGACGACGTCGATGACGACGACAACGACGACGACGTTGACGACGACAACGACGTCGACGACGACGACGACGCCTACGGACGACGGACGACCACGACGACGACGTCGACGTTCACGACGACGACGGCGATGTTCACGACGACGACGGCGATGACGACAGACGACGGACGACAACGCCGACGGCGACGACTACGACGATGACGACGACGACGGAAGATGGACGACGGGCGACGACGACGACGGCGGCGACGACGACGACCACGAAGACGAAGCCGCCGAAGACGACGATGACGATGACGACGACGACGGACGACGACGACGGACGCCGACGACAACGACGACGACAACGATAACGACGACGACGACGTTGACGACGACGAAAACGACGACGACGACGATGGCGACGATAACGACGACGACGCCGACGACGACTTCGATGTCGTGGACGACAACGCCGACGCCGACGCCGACGCCTACGGAAGACAGCGACGACGACGACGACGACGCCGACGATGTGGACGATGCCGACACTGACGACGACGCCGACGCCGACGACGCCGCCGCCGACGATGACGACGACGCCGACGCCGACGCCGATGCCGACGCCGGGGCCGACGTCGACGCCGACGGACGACAATCAAGACGCCGACGATGCTGGCGCCGACGACAACGACGACGACGACGACGCCAACGCCGACACCGACGGAAGACGACGACGACGACGACGACGACGACGACGACGACGACGACGACGACGACGACGACGACGACGACTACGACGATGCTGACGCGGACTCCGACGCCGACGCCGACGCCGACGTTGACGCCACCGACGACGACACCGACGCCGACGTCGACGCCGACGCCGATTCCGACGCCGACGCCGACGGAAGACGCCGACGACGCCGACGATGCTGGCGCCGACGCCGATGCCAACGACGACGACGATGACGACGACGACGACGCCAGCGCCGAAACCGACGGATGACGACGACGACGACGACGACGACGACGACGACGACGACGTCATCGGCGACAACGACGATGGCGGCGGCGGCGGTGGCGACGACGACGACGACGACGACGACGACGACCCACCCCATACTCACAGGGGAAGGGGGGGCACAGGTACCCACCACCACGCCAGTCCCACAGGCCACAACCACAGGGGGAGGGGATTGATCCCATTTTCGAGGCCCTGCGACCTTGGTCTCGGAAAGCTACCGGCGAAAGCAGCGGAACGTCCACCCTCCACCACGCCACGCCCACACTCCCACGGCCGCAGGGAGGCGGAGGAGCGACTTCATTCGCGAGGCCTTCGCGAGGCTCACGGGCGTACCCATCCGGCGGGGGAGGGTGGGAGGCTGATCTCATTAGCATTGGAGGGGGGGCAGCCCTGGACCATGCATCCCCACCTAGGCGGGTAAGTCGGCCAGTGGGGCAATTGGGCCAAGGCCACGCCAGTGGGTATAGGGACAGGTTAAACGATGATCAGGGGGCGCGCACTCGTGGCACGCCCTGGCAGCGTCGGCGACCTCAACCGCCAGGCCAGGCCTCCGGCTCGACCTGGCCGCCGCGACGGCTTCGTGGCCCGCGCTGGCGGGCGTCCAGGACGCGCAGATGCCGCTGGCCGAGCTCGTGAGCTGGCACAGTCTTCCTGAGGTGGACTCAGCCCTCCGTGGCGACGTGGCGGTCACCACGATGGCCGTTCTGAATTTGCCCTATGCGTACCCGAAGTGGAAGCTGCAGTGGGACATCAAGCAGGAGGGCCTTGCGTACGACTACTTCCACTGCCCCCAGGACGCTCGCAAGGAGAGGAATCGCGGATTTGCGTTTGTAAACTTCCTGACGCCAGAGGCCGCCCACGCATTCCAGCGGTCTTTCCACAACCGCGAGCTCTCCTACCCCGGGGCAGAGGCTAAGGTGGTTGCTGTCGTGCCTTCTGATCTGCAGGGCCTCGAGAAGAACGCCCGCCTCCACCCACAGGGCTTGGCTTTACTTCCGCAGTTGCTGTTGCAGCAGTACCAGCAGCGTCACCTTCGCCAGCAGCACCAGCAGATGACAGCCGCAAGCGGCGGCGGCAGCACCAGTCGGGGACCCTGGGAGGCTGAGCAAGTCGCGGTGGACCAGAGAGCCTCCTCCAGCCGCTCCCAGGTGGCCCCTGCGACGCACTCGCCGTCGCCATCTCGAAACGTGCCGGTGGTCTACAGGCTGTCCTTATGAGGGATCCGTAGCGCCATGCGTGCGGCCCAGGCGGGCCCCCCGTCGGACTCTTCTCGCTCCGCCGGGCGCCCCCTGGGTCGAGTCTGGGCGTTGGTCGAGCTTGCACTCCAGTGGCCAGGATTACCGTGCGGAGGGCCTCGTGGCCACTGCGCGCCGTCACTTCGTGCTCGATCCTCTGGGGGCCCGGGCGCGGACACCCGCATCGCGGCAGCCTGCGCATACTTCAGTCTGGGCTTGCCAGCGTGCGCGTGTTGCGCTGGAGTTGGAGGCTGTCTTCTTGAATTTGCAGCGTCGCCTCGAAGAGAAGATGGATGATGTGGATAATTATGTGGCCTGACGGAGCCCTGATCGACGGATCGGTCTCTCTCACGAAGGGGAGGGGCATGAAGAAGGGGAGGAGCAAGAACAGGAGACTGAGTTTGAGGAGGTGGAGAAAGATCAGGAGGGGGAGGGGGAGGAGGAGGGGGAGGGGGAGGAGGACAAGCTAGGTGCGCTCGCGTCATATCTGACGTCCTACCCCTCCCTCCCATCCCTTACCATGGCGCTGATTTTCTCTATCCGCGGACGCGTGTCGTAGCGGACCTGTGGCTCCGCGCGCGCGTGCGTAGTGGGTGGTGGTGCACGTGCGTGCGTGCGTGCGTGCGTGCGTGCGTGCGTGTGTGTGGTGCGTGGTGGTGGTGGTGGTGGTGGTGGTGGTGGTGGTGGTGGTGGTGGTGCTGGTGTGGTGGTGGTGGTGGTGGTGGTGGTGGTGGTGGTGGTGGTGGTGGTGGTGGTGTTGCTGGTGCTGGTGCTGGTGGTGGGTGGTGGTGGTGGTGGTGGTGGTGGTGGTGGTGGTGGTGGTGGTGGTGGTGGTGCGGTGCGGCGGTGGTGGCGGGCGGATGGGCGCGCGAGAAAAAGGCCCGCGCTGGGGCGAGAACGCCATCCTGAACGACGGAGGCCAAACACCGATCCGAAAATGAGGCCCACGCTGCAGCGGGAGCACGATTCGGAACGATTCGGGAGCAGAAATGAGGCCGGCGCCTCAACGAGAGCAGCATTTGGGGGAAAAATGACGCCGGCGCCTCAGCGAGAGTCGTTTCCCGGGATTTCCCAGGCACCCTGTCTGTAAAAAACAGTACGCGGAGGGTGCGCGGCCATCACCCGGACGCCATCAGGGGAAGAGGGAGAGTATTTTCATATTGAGTAATTGTGGAGGAGGAGGAGGAGGAGGAGGAGGAGGAGGAGGAATACTAATAATAACAATATAATAAGAAGAATAAGAGTAATAAACATAATAAGAAGAAAAATACGAAGAGGAGGAGGAGGCGGAGCGAAACGCTTCTCAACGGGCAGCCTGCGCGTGCGGTGTTTGCCTTGCTCTTTCTGCCTGCAGCGTCGCCTCCTCGAGGAGGAGACGGACGCTGCGGCTCTGTGGGCTGATCGAGCCATGGTCGACGGACCGGTCCCTCTCAAGAGGAGGAGGGGGAATAATTCAAGGGGGACAAGGGGAGAAGCAAGAACATGAGTCTGCGGATGTGTAGCAAGGACAGGAGGGGGAGGGGAAGTGGAGGGGGAGGGGGAAGAGGAGGAGCAGGAGGAGGAGGAGGAGGAGGAGGAGGAGGAGGAAGACGAGGATGACGAGGAGGAGGAGGAGGAGGAGGAGGAGGAGGAGTGGGATGCATCTCTCTGGGGGGAAGTTCAGTTGGAGGTGGAGGTTGAAGTGGATGAGGAGTTCAACGCTGTGCAAGTTGCTCTGCCAGGTCAACGGCCTTTCTGTGCGTCCCTGGGTGTCCATAGTCAGCTCTGCCGAGCCGAATCTCCCATGCCCAGCAGCCTCGACTGGGCGCGCTCTTTCCACTCCCAACGGGCTCGACCGCGGAGCTACATGCGGATCGGTCAAGCCCCTTGCGGCTCTCTGCTCCCGAGAGGGCATGGGCGCGGCGGTCACGCGTCACTGCGCGTTACGGCGGCGGCGGGCTCCTGGTCTGCTCGTTCGACTGCCTGCGCGTTCCGTGTTTTGCCAGGGCTTGGCGAGGCTCTCGCGTGCGCTCTATGCCTGTCCTTGGTAGTCGGGCCAGGCTCTCGCGTGCGTCCGACGCCTGTCCTTGGAATTGGACACGCCTGTGCCCCGTCGGCGTGATGGGGGCAGTCGTTTTTCTGGCAGTTAGTGTACTGCCTTTTGCCCCACACTGGCGCTCGGAGCCTCTCGCTCCGTCTCGTTCTCCTCTCCGCCTCCCTCCGCCTCCCCCCTCCCCTCGCTCGCGCCGTGAGGCCCTCTGACGAGCTGTTGTTCGATCTTCAGTCTTGTCCGCGGCCGTCCTGCGTGCAGGCCGCCTGTTTGAAGTAATGCTGGGTTAATCGCTAGTGCCTTTTCACCCGTGATGGGATCACAGCAGTAGCGCATTCTCCCGCGCGAGGAGGAGCAGGAAAGCATCAACGAACCGCAGGTTCACCTGCCTCCAGGCCTTTTCTAAGCTTCCTTCTGGCTTGGCACTGAGGCATGGTCCGCTGTGCCGAGCCGAAGCCCCAGGGCCCCCCTCAGGCTGGTCCAGCCGTGGTAGCCTGGTGGCCATGGTGGTTGTGGTGGCCGTGTCGGCCGTGACGGCCGCGCTGGCCGTGGCGGTCGCGGCGGTCGCGGTGGCTGCGGTGGCCGTGGCGGTCGCGGTGTTCGCAGTGGCCGCGGTGACCGTGGCGGCCCCCGACACTTTGAACAGCCTCCTCATCCTCCTCATCCTCCTTGAAATACGTGTTTTTCCCCAGCTAGGTTCTGCATCGAAGATGTTCGTATGTATTATTGAACTCTGCTTTGCGTGCCGTATCGTAGTCTGTATGTTTCTTCTTTGTCCTCCTCCGTCTTCCAATTGGGCTCAAGGCGGCGAGGGCGAGGCCGTAGGGCTGGTCTTTCTCGAGTCGCGCCGCGGCGCCGCCGGGCACGATTCTGCAGCCGTGGCTGATAGCCTGCGGGTTCCTCGCCTTCTTCGGGTTGGTGACGGGTGCCCCCGAGGAGGGCGCAGCTTTCCTGGACGAGGACGGGGGCGTCTTCGACTTCATGGGGCTACGCTTCGACCCCGAAAAGGGTGAGGGAGACGAAGGGGGGGTTGAGCTGAAGGAAAGTGACGTCGTCGTCCGCGGGACCATCCCACTAGTCATGGGAGCCCGGTCGCAGTGGAATTGGATCTACTACCACCCTGAGGGGCAGGGCTCGGGAAAATTGATGTTGCCGGTGGCGTCGGTAAGGCGGCGGATCAAGTATAGGCACGCGTCTCGTTGAAGGACCAGGTGGTTGTTTCCAGCAAGCCCACGCCTGCTGTGGCGTGGGCCCCGTCCCCTGGTCGATCGGGGAAGCCCCGTGGCACCGTTCTGGCAGCTTGTGGGACGCTGCTCGCTCGTCGGGGGTCGAATGTTTCCGAATGCAAGGAGCTCAGCCGTGAAGAGAGTATTGGATCATTTAGGAAAGGGTCAGGGGTGAATAAGTAGAAGTCGACGTCGACAGGGAACCTCGTGAGCTCGTTCCCCACCATTATCAGCAACGTGGTGTGCCTCACCTGGTTGAGTCCGTCATGGGTTGGCATCGGTGGTGGACCTTTCTTGGCCTGGAGAGTTGGGGGCCCACGCTGCATATTATCTACGACGCAACGGTGGCGGCGAGGGAGATCTCTGGACCAGCTTGACGGACATGTCAGATTCAGGAGAGAAGGAGGTGCTGTCAGTGTGGCTTGTGTCTGCTCAGTTCGGTCCTGGCCTTTTTCATCTGCCCGTGTGACAAGCGGTGCAGCACAGGGCGGGATATTGACTCGGATTTGGGCGCGCCCGATGGCGAGCTGGTCTTTAGACGACGGTGTCAGATCCCGACGACGAGCCTGATGCGAAAAGATTGCGCGCTCAGCTCCAGCGAGACCAGGAGGCGCCACGAACGGGTTTGGCGGTGGTCGCGAACGCCCTGAAGGTTCCCGCGGCAGGTGCGCCTTTCGGCGTCCAGGGGTGGCCGGGCCTCGGGTTGAGGCATCTGGCGAGCGGGCGTGGGGCTCCTTTTTCGCTGGCCCAGCTGGACGACTCATGGCGAAGCCGAGCGATCGCGAGCGGGCCGGGGCTTTGGACCCGGGGCGAGCGACCCAGAGCAGCAGCGATCGATGACCTGGTGCCGACGTCGGGCTCCAGCCGGGAGAAGTTGTCGGGGCCCGCTGGACTCGTCGGGGAGGCCGTTGCTCAGTTCGAAGCGGATCGCACACAACCTTCAGAGGAGGGTCGGGGTCGCCAACGTCCTGGTGGCGCCCGCGGCGCCGAGCAAAATGCATTGCGGTGGAAGGGCCGCGAAGGTAGAAGTGCAGGAGTGGCTCCGTGGCAAGGAGCTGACGCAGACGCCCGCAGCTAGAGAGACGCTCGTCTTGGCTATGATGCTGGACAGGTTCGCATCGCAAGGCGGCTACGCCGCGCTCATCAACCCCCAGGCAATAGAGCTGAATTGCTTAAGGAGGTTCGCGATCACGAGGTCCGACGAGGGCGCGACCTGCAATGGCGATTGGAAGAGGCCGCTCAACGCCAACGGCGCCAGGGGGCGCTCGATGGTGGACGGGCCCCGTCGGCGAGGGGCGCATTTGCGGGTTTCGTTTCGGGGCGGCCTCGAGGACGGCCCGGCGGGCGAAGAGGCGGCGGAGCAGGGCGCAGATCGACGAGAACTTAGGAGCGGCGCGAGAGTCGGCGCCGCGCGGCGACGAATAGGGGTGGCCAGAGCGTCCGTTTTGGAGTGGCGACCTTTCCGCGTGTCTCGCGCTGCGGGGCGCGTTCTTGGCGACCAGCGCTGCGCGCGCGTCGTCGGCGGGGAGATCTCCGGGAAGGGCGCGGGCCGGGAGGCCCTTGCTGGCGGGTCTCGCCGCGTTGACCGCGCCGGCGCACTCGGGCGTGCAGGCGCGATGTTCTGCCGAGGGCAATGGCTTGTAGATCTCGAGACCTCGATCTCCCACGAGGCCCGGCGTGCGTCGCGACATCGGCGGCCAGGTGCCCGCTTTCTGGTGCCGCGTCGAGGTGGGTTCCAGGCGGCGGGGCCCGTCGCGCCGCGCCCTTCGCGGGCCGACGCTCGAGCGTTGAGCTCAGTGCGCGGGGCGGCGCGGGCTTCGAGGTCCTCGGCGGCAGGGGGGGTCGGCGCTGGAGAAAGCGCCGCGCGTCCGAGCTGGCCGCGCCCCTCCGCTCGTCTGCGGCGCTCGACATCTCAGATCGGCGCGCCTCTCTCGCGGTGCTGGGGGGCATCGGCGACGGCAGAGCGGCGCCTCGCCGTTTGCGGGGGCCCGGCTGCCTGGGCCGGGGGCGTCGCGAAGAAATATATTAAGAAGAATAAGAAGTAACAAAAAATACAAACGTAGCACCCCGCAATTGCGGATAAGAGTGAGGGGGCGGGCGCGGGCGACGCGGGCGTCGAGCCGGCGGACCTCGTGGCCTTCAGCTTCCCTGTCGATGGCGCCCTCCTCCCCCTCCTCCTCCTCCTCCTCCTCCTCCTCCTCCTCCTCCTCCTCCTCCTCGTGCTCCTCCCCCTCTTTCTCGTGATTTGCGTGTTCTGACAAGTTCAGCGCGGGGGGGGTCGCTGGTGGGCCGCCCGGAACGAATGCAAAGACAGCCCGCCGCAAGCGTCGAATTTTTGGCTTGTTCAGTGAAGGTAGTTTGGGTCGCGGGTGCGTCGCGGGCTCTCCACCCCCACCTGGAAGGAATTGAAAAACAGCCCGCCGCCGGCGCCAAAAAAAATTGATTTGCACACTTAACGCGGTTTGGGTCGCAGGTTTTCCACCTGGAACGAATCCAAAAGAAACCCGCCGCAGGCGCCGAAGTTTTGGCTTGTTCAGTGAACGTAGTTCGGGTCGCGGGTGGGTCGCGGGCACTTCCATTTGGAAGGAATTCAACAACAACCCGCCGCAGGCGCCGAAAATTTTGATTTGTACACTGAACGCGGTTTGGGTCGCGGGTGGGTCGCAGGTTTTCCATTTCGAACAAATGCAAAAGAAGCCCGCCGCAGGCGCCGAACATTTTGGGTGGGTCGCGGGGTGGGTCGCGGGTGGGTCGCGGGTGGGTCGCGGTGGGTCGCGGGTGGGTCGCGGGCGCGGTTTGGGTCGCAGGTGGGTCGCAGGTTTTCCGCTTGGAACGAATGCGAAAGAAACCCGCCGCAGGCGCCGAAAATTTTGGGTGGGTCGCGAGGTGGGTCGTGGGTGGGTCGCGGGTGGGTCGCGGGTGGGTCGCGGGTGAGTCTCGGGGTGGGTCGCGGGTGGGTCGCGGGTGGGTCGCCGGTAGGTCGCGGGTGGGTCGCCGGGTGGGTCGCGGGGTGGGTCACGGGCGGGTCGCGGGGTGGGTCGCGGGTGGGTCGCGGGTGGGTCAAGGGTGGGCCGCGGGGTGGGTCGCGGGTGGGTCGCATGGTGGGTCGCGGGTGGGTCGCGGGCGGGTCGCCAGGCGGGTCGCGGGCGGGACGACGACAACAAACAACAACAACAACAACAACAACAACAACAACAACAACAACAACAACAACCACAACCACAACCACAACCACAACAACAACAACATCAACAACATCAACAACATAATAATAACAACAACAACAACAACAACAACAACAACAACAACATCACAACAACAACAACAACAACAACATAACAACAACACCATAATAACAACAACAACAAACACAACAACAACAACAACAGCAGCAACAACAACAACAACGACAACGACAACGACAACGACAACGACAACGACAACAACAACAACACCAACAACAACACCATTCACAACAACAACAACATCAACAACAACATACCAACAACAACATAACAGCAACAACATAACAACAACACAACAACAACAACAACGACAACGACAACGACAACGACAACGACAACAACACCAACACCAACAACAACAACAACAATCACAACAACAACATAAAAACAACACCAACAACAACAATAACAACAACAACAACCACAACAACCACAACCACAACCACAACCACAACAACAACAACAACAACAACGACAACGACAACGACAACGACAACGACAACGACAACGGCAACGACGACGACACGCATCGCGGAATTCCGTTTCAGCCACGTACTCAGGGACAGTGAATGACCGTTCGGGTCAGCCCCCATCACTCTGATATTCAGCGGACCGCGACATCGGGCGCCCGTGGGCAGGGCGACCCCTGCAAGATGGCGGCGGGCTAGGTTTCGTTGCCACCTCGGGGGGCCGCGGGGCTGTCGCGGGAGGGCCCGCCCTCTGCGGCGGCGCCCTGTCCGGGGAATTTCGAGGGCCGCATTCCGGGGTATCCAGGGCAGGTCGATTGGGGCGGCATCGCAAGTCGAAGAGCTATTCGGACCCTGGCTGGATGGATTGCGCCGCCAGAGTTACCCTGGCCATGGGGATTCCGCAAGCTGGGGTGGTGCGCGGCATCGCGGGGGCGAAGCGCGCGGCCGGGCTCTTCTGCGAGGCAAAGGATGCGAGCGCCGACGGTGGTCGCGAAGTCGCGCCTGACATGGGATGCGCAGGAGGTGAACTTGCTCTTCCCGGGCACTCCTCGGGCGCAGTCGGGGTCGCCTGCTGCGCCGTCCAAGCTTGGCTTCGTCGGGGGCATTCTCGACGAGAAGGTCTCGGGGAGTTTCCGCGGGGGGCGTGCTGGGCCGGTCCTTCCGCCCGAGGTGGGCGGAGGAGTTTGCCTCGCACATGTCGCTGGAGGGGGCGGATCCAGGCGAGCTCTTCGCCATCGGAAAATCGCTGAAAGTGGACTTGCCTAAGCCGCCCGATGGCGCTGTTGGCCTCGGCTCGGTGGCGCTTGTCGCGGGTCTGCGTGGGCCGTTTTCATGGCCCGCTTCGCGCTGGTCGATTGCTTCGAGGCGATGGGCGGCTGGCTTGGCGACGGAGCGGAATGCCCGGGGGGAAGGCGTGCCCAAGCTTTGCGAAGGCGGACTTGCTGTTGCTGCGCGTCGACGATTACGTCGGTCTCGAGCTCGCGAGGCGGGGCGGCGCGGGGGCGTTGGAGGCGGCGAGGGCGGAAACCAGGGAGGGACCGAACGGGGCGCGGCCGGCATTGCGCAAGGATCGGGGGTGGACAGAACCCCCGCCCTGACACGTCGATTCGTGAATTGTCCGTTTTCGGTTCTCGAGAGGGCGCCGCGGCCGTCATCTGTCAGGTTTGGGCCCGCCAGGTTTGGGCCCGATGTCGTTTTCACTAAACCACGTTTTATTAAAGGAGGTTCTGACCATCCCCGAAAGGAGGGGTCGGGGGAAGGGCCCGGGCGAAGGCCCGGGGCCCGGGCGAGGGCTCGGGCTCGGCATTTCGGGTCGACCTTGCGCGCGTTGTGGGGGCTCACGCAGAGAGGGTTGAAGGATCGCGCTCTGTGCTCGGAAGCCGTCTGCGCCTGGAGAGGGCCAGTCTGGCCGCGCCGGCTACGTTCGTCAGCCCAGCGCCCCGTTTGGCTGGAGGGCCCAGTACAATTCAAGGGCAGAGCGTAACCCCCGCCGGGGGTCGAGGGATCGGGTTCCCCTTCCCAATTTAAAAATTTGGCGATGTTGGTCTGCCGCCTTGCCTTCGCCGTCCTGGGCGCCCGCGTTGCCGACGGGGGCGCAGCGCTCCGACTCGGGGGCGAGGGGGGCTCGGCCCCCGGCCCGCCGCAGAGGGGGCGCGGGGCGAGCTGGTGGCCCAGGGGCCGCTGGCGGTCTTCTCCGAGCCAAACCTGGGGCCGGGCGGCGCGCGCGACGGACTCGGGGCCGTCGCCGCAGAGGCAATCGTGGAGAGGGGGCTCGATCGGGGCGCGGAACAGGCCCCGCAGATCCGCGTCGACGAAGCGCAGCAGAAGATCGAGAAAGAGACGAAGGCCCAGGGCAAGACGAAATAATGCACTCGAAGGAACGTCGCCTTGGGTTCATCGATATGCGCCGCGGGCCGGCGAGCTTGAAGGGGGGCCAGGGGGTGGCCCCAGAAGAGCTCGCGCGCTGGGCTCGCCCGCCCACCCAGCCCCAACGGGCGATGCCTGCCCGCGCGCCCGGGCACCTCGAGGACCTCCAGGGCGCAGGCGAACCTGGGCGCCTCGCGCTGCAACCTCCCAGCGGCGATCGAACCTCGTCAGCAGCTCCGCGCAGACAGCCCCGAAATCCCCGTCGCAGCCCACCGAAGTCCTGCGGCCGAGCTCGACCTTGCCCCGCAAGGCCCCCGCAGGTTCGCCGCCGTCGCAGCCGGCCCGCCCATCTCCATGGCGAACGCGCCTTTGCCCGGACAGCCCGCCCCTCTGCCCCCGACCCAGCGCCAGCGGCGCCCCGGGGGCCAGCGCGACGGACCCCATGCCCGCGAGGGCGGCGGCCCCCCCGAATCGACGATCACCCGGGCCCACTAATAATTGCGGCGGCTCACATTCTGCAGGGCCGCCTCCTCAAGACCCTCGAACCCCGCGGGCGCGCCCGAACGCGGCGCCGCTCGTCCACGGGCGCGCCCGAGACAAAGGGGCAGGTGCCCCGGCGCCACCGCCGACGCACCCTGCAAACAAGCTTTTCCGACACCTGCACATCCATGCACCAGTGCCCCGTTGGCTTGGCACCCATCGCCAGTGGCCACCGGCGCCGAGGACAAAGGAGACCGCCGCCGAGACACGCGCCAAACGCGGGGCAGACGCAGCAAGCGACCTCCCCTTCTGCGACGCCGCCATCGAGACCGCGTGGTCCGTAATGACCACCGCGCGCCTGCGCCAGCACCGAGACGACCTCCCCGATGCCGAAGCGCGCCGCTGACCGCCCTCAGCCCCAGCGCGTCGCCGCGTGCCGCCGTTCCCCATGCGACCCGGCCGACGGGCCGAGTCGGGGGGCGGCCATCGCGGCCGCTGACGAAAACCAGGGAGGCTCACCGAATGAGTGCGACCCCGCAGTGAGTTTGGCCGCCCTTTCAACAAGTCCTGCGGGGGCAAGCTGGAAATTTGAGCGACGGCAGCGTTCTCGCCCGACAGCGCGAGCTCCTGCTCAGTCAGACCAGACAGCGGGTGGAGGTCCATGGCGCTGGCAGGCGCGCAGGTGGAGCGAGCGCTTCGCATTCGACAAAGCAAAGTGTTTCATGCTCAGAACGACTCGTGCATAAGCCTGCTCGATTCGCACAGCACTTGCCCCGCGCACTTCCTCTATGAGGCTTTGTGCTTTGCGATAGCTTCGTGTGCGCCGAAGCTGCGTCGGCGCCCGTCGACCATATTTTGTGTGTGGATGAGCGTCCAGGGTCAAAATCTGAGGTCGCACGGCGATCGCCCCCCGCGCGGGGGCGGCAGCCTGCTTCGGGGCGCGATCGCGATCGAGACCAGTGAGCCGCATTGTGGGCCGCGCTTCTTGTGGCGCCGCGCGCGGCAGAGGGCGCCCGCAGCGGGCCCCGACTGCCGCCGTCGCGCATGGGGGCCTCTCGCGCGGGAACAGCCTTTGCGTTTCAACGATCGGCTGCCTGCGCGCGCCATGGGCGACTCGACCAACGTCGTCTATAAGCGGGGGGACAGGGCCTTGCAACGCCACTGCGGAGCGCGATGTGGCACTGGCGCAGCGCATCAGTCACCTGCGCCACCGACGCGGGGGCAATTGCGTGAACGCATCGCCAGCTTTCAACGGATTCACGCGCGCGGTTGAGGACCATCGCGGGAAGCCGCCCATGCCCGTTCGCGCCCTCGAGCGCCCGGGACAGGGCGCAGTTCGCGGGCGATGGCCGCCCGATCCCATTCTAGGCGATAGCGGTGACTGTGAGGCGGATGCTGGAGACGGGCCGTTGCCCGGAGGCGGCGGCCTGCGCGGCGCAGCTGGGCGGGTGGCTTCGGGGGCAGGGTTGGGGCGTGCCAGCCCGATGCAGGGCCGCCCCGCGGCCGCCGCAGCACGCCTCGTTGCTCTGGGGGGAGATCCCGAGGCGGCGCGGCGCAAAGGGAGATGCGCCGCGACCAGCGCGCCCCAGAGATGCGCGAAACGCCAAATTCTGGTGGAAAAGCTCGGCGAGCTCACGCACTCCCGCCCGCCCGCTTCCGCTTCCACCGCGCGGGCGGGAGGGGGCGGGGGGGCGGAATCAGGCGCCCCCCCGCAGTCCCACTCGCAGCCTTGCAGGCCGCGTCGCAGGGGGGGGGGGGGGAGGGGGGGGCAGAGCTCCGAGGGCATCGAGTTGTGAGCGGGGCCCCGTCGGGCCGTCAGAGACTCGATCGAGCTCGGGCTCGGCGCGGGCGCGTTGCCCGGGGGAAGGTCGAGCGCGGCCTTGGGCAGCCGCGAGCGAAGGCGGCCAGCCACGCTGCGCGGTGAGAGGAGGGCGGGCGGCGGAGAGGGGTGGGGCGGGGGCGGGGGCGGGCGGGGGGGGGTCGAGCCCTGCGCGCCCCCATCGCGCCCCTGCCCCCCCCCCCCCATGCCGCCGAGCGAATGCGAGAGAGCGGGAGCAGCGCCTGCTGCGTGCATGATCTCCCCCCGTTCACATATTAATCGCAACGGTGCGCCATGTATTTCAGAGAAGCTCCATTGGGGGTCTTAGAGTGTCAGAGCCAAGTCTGTGGTGATGGGGATCAGTTTTTTTTGTGGTGGGCGGGTGGGTGGGTGGATGTGGTTCCCGTAGGTCGGAAGCAAGTGTTTAGCTTCCTATCCCCTCCCCTTTTGGCGCCCGTGCTCGGCTCTTCATTTTGAGGCTAGATGACTGTAGGCACTCGGCCCGAGGGGTGCGGTAGGATCTGCAGTAGGAACTGCAGACGGCGATGCAGTAGTAATTGCAGCAGGGGCTGTAGCGAGATAGCTGGTAGGAGCTGCAGTAGGAACTGTCGTTTGAAATCCATTCGAGGTTGTAGGGCGAACTGTAGCAGGAACGGTCGCCAGAGCTGCAGTAGGAATTGTATGCGAAACTGTGATAGGATATGTCGTAGGATCTGTAGGAGGTGTAACCAAGTTAGCTTAGTCGAGCGAGCCATTGGTTTCTGCGCATTCCCACCCCCGCTTCCATCACATGCGGATCAAGTGTGGCACAGCTGGGTGCTGGTATTGGAACGGTTTCCACAGCTAGCGAACGGAAAACGTTCGCGCGCGGCCCCGCTTGCGACGGCTTGGCTAAGGGAGCGCTGCGCGGTCCGCGCAGGGGTAGGAGCGGCAAAACTTCCGATGATCGCGGCGAAGACGAAGCATGCGCCGCGCCGAAATAGCACTGCCGTTGTCACGCACACATAGCGCAGTGATTAGGCGAGGACAGCATTTGGCCCGCGCCCGCGCGGCCCCAACGAACAAAACATGCGCCACGCCCGCGCAGGAACGCCACTACCAACCGAAATGTGCACGGAACGTGGGCGAAGGCGCCAACATTTTACCAGTGAAAAACACGCGTCGCGCTTGAGGCGTGAGCGCTACTCTCAAGCAACATTCGCGCGGTGCCGAAGCGAAAACGACATTTCGGTTCTTTCGCGCGTCGAAGCAGTAACACGCGAAACATGCGCGCCGCGCCAAACGGGGGCTCAATTTTTAACGTTTCGCATATCCCTTCCTTTCGTGCTCCTCGGAGGCCTCTTGGGGCGTTGTGGGGGTCTCTTGGCGAGTTTGGGTGGCCTCTTGGGGCGTCTTGAGTGCCTCGTGGATGCCTCGTGGGTCCCCTTGGGCGCGTTTGGGGGTCTCTTGGGGCCCTTTGGGGCCTTGTTAGGAGTTTTCATGAAGGAATCGTTCGGGTTTGTTTGGGGCCATCTTGGAGGAAACCATCGATCAAGAAAAGGGGGGTCATGGACTGGTCTTGCTCCCCCAGGAGGCAAACATGAGCCCAACATCAAGGACACATCGATGTTGTGCGCAATGCAAGTGATCGCAGAGGGGGCCCGCACATGATCCAGATTTTGGTGCAAAGTGCTGCATTGTGTTTTGCAAGGGGTGGTTGGGCGGGGTTGGCATTGCACACAGCAGGCAATATGCGTTTCCCCCGCCGTCACTGTCAAAGATCAGTGCCAAGTGATTGCGGGGCGTTCGCGAATGATCCAGATTTTAGTGCAGTGTGCACTTGGTATTGTTTTTCGTGCAAGTACTGGTGGGGGGGTGCTGGCATTGCACACAGCAGGCAATGTGCCGGCACCCCCGCCGCCCCTGTCCAAAACAAAGGCGAAGCTATCGCGGAATGTCTTCGCTAGATCCAGATGTTGATGCAAAGTGTAGTGCGTATGGTTTCTTGCAAAAAATGGTGGGGGGTGTCGGCATTGGCCAGGTTTTGTCGCTAGTCGGGTGGGGGAGGGGGTGTAAATCAATGACAAGCAATGACAAAACCCGTCCCCGAAGGGGTAAAACGGGATTAAATGAGGAAACGCTCCAAACCACCCACGCCCTAGAGGGCTGGCGGGGTTGTCTAGAAAAATCAGCGCGGCGCTCTTGCGAGAGCGACATTCCGCCGCTTTGGGTGGGATGTGCGCTCCGCCCCACTCGTGCCGCGCATTTTGCTGCGTGGGCGACAGGACGTCAATGTTGAGAGCAGAACAACAATGTTTCTCGACAATTCGGATGCACCCCCGGCGGATTGGCGGGCTATCGGCTGGCTAAGGATATGTAGTAGCAGCTGTAGTTGGAGCTGCAACAGGAGCTGTAGTAGGAGCTGCAGTGGGGACGTTAGTAAGAGCTGCAATCGGAGTTGCAGTAGGAGCTGTGGTGCGACACATAGTACGAGCTGCACTAGGATCTGCATTCGGATCTGGGCTGCAGCACGAGCAATTAATTGTAGGAGCTGTTTAGTAGGAGTTGACTTAAAAACTGCACGGAAAGTGAACTAGGAACTGAAGTAGGAGCTGAAGTTTGAGCAGTAGCACGAGCTGTTGTAGGAGCTAGTGGGCGCTGTAGTGACGAGCGTTGGCAGATCTTGGGGGGATTCAAAGGATTTGTTCGGAAAGCTGGAAAAATCAGGAAAGTTCCAGTTCGGTTCGGTTCGGTTAGGTTCCGAAGCGCCTCCGGTTCGGTTCGGTTCGGTTCGGTGTCGTAATCTTCTGGTTCGGTTCGGTTCGGTACGTTTATTTTTTGTTTCCGGTTCGGACCGGTTCCTGTTCCGGTTCGGTCCGGTTCCGGCCAGATCGCCGTCGAGGAGCGGTTCCGACCCCAGTCGACCTCTCCGTGGCCCCGGGGCCCGAAAACGGCTGCCGCTGGCTGCCGCTGCTCCTGGCCGCCGCTGGCCTCCCCTGGCCCCAAAGGGGCCCCAAATCTCGTCTTTTTTGGGGGGGTCCGTGGACCTCGCCGTGGCCGCTGGCCGCCGCTGGCTGCCGCTGGCTGCCTCTGGCTGCCGCTGGCTGCCGCTGGCCTCCGCCGCTCGGGGCCCCAAAGGGCCCCAAAGGGGCCCCAAACCCCCAAAGGGGCCCCAAACCTGCACAGGGGCCCCAAAGGTGCCCCAAACCCCAAAAGGGGCCCAAAAAGACCCCAAACCCGCATAAGGGGCCCCAAAGGAGCCCCAAAGGGGCCCCAAAACCCCCCAAAGGGGTCCAAATGCGACCCCAACCCCCAAAGGAGCCCCAAAGGGGCTCCAACGGGGGCCCAAACCCGCATAGGGGCCCAAAGGGGCTCCAAAGGGGCCCCAAACCCCAAAGGAAAGGGGGGTTTGTCGGGGTGGCTGCAGCAGACTGGTGGTGGGTCGGTTCCCGCGGGAACCCGGGTACCCTGGCGGCGGTCGTCATCGTCGTGGTCGCCGCCGGTCATCCTCCCTCCTCCTCCCTCCGTGGCCAGTTTTCCGGTTCGCTCCGGTTCGGTCCGGTTCGGTCCGGTTCGGGCCGGTTCGGCGGGGGAGGTTCGGCCTGGTTCGGAGTCCAGGTTCGGTTCGTTTCGGTTCGGTGTCGTAATTTTCCGGTTCGGTTCGGTTCGGTTCCCATTGACAAAAAAGCCGGTTCGCGCCGGTTCGGTTCGGCCCGGTTCGGTTCGGCCGGTTCGGTTCGGTTCCGGAACCATCCTGAAAAATCAAGAGCAATGCTGAACAATCGTTTCGGGATCATGTGGGGTCCTACAAGATTTTGGGGAAACCCGGGAAACCCGAGAAGTCCAACGGAATTTTGCCGAGTAACTGGGAGTATTGGAGATATTGCTGGTCCTAGAGGGTTCTGAAGGAACATCAAGGGACCCTGACTAATCTTAAAGAATCTTAATGACTCCTGACGGATCCTACAGAATCTGGGGGACCCAGCGAAATCCCGAAAAGTCCTGAGGACTCCAGCGGAGCGCTGGGGAGCCCAACAGGAATCCAAGACTATCCCAAATAATTCAGAGGACGCTTGATGCGTCCTGAAGAATCCGGGGAATTTCTGGGGAATCCTGCGGGGCCCTGGGGAGTCCTGCAGAATCCAAGGGGATCAACTGAAATCCTGAGGAAGCTTGCGGAAGCCATCCGAATCTTGAGAGCTCCTGGGGGATCTGTTTGAAATAATCACAAGGAATCTTCAGATATCCAGAAGATCCATCATGAATGTTGAGGGTTTTCTCAGGAGTTCGGTGAAACCCGGAGGAATCCGATGGACCCCTGCGGTATCATGAGGAGTCCTGGGGAAATCAACAGAATCCGGGGAAGTCCTGAGGAACCTGCAGGTACCTTGACTTGAGCAATCCAATGGATTTTTTGTTATGCAAATCCGTAGGAATCGCCTGGAACCCTGAAACCCTACTACAAGGCTCGTCAAAAATAAACACAAGACTTCTGCATTCGGTGATTGTGGGGTCAGCGCTACTCCAATGCTCACAGATGTCTGTTGACTCGGACGCGGCGCTGTTCAAAAACCTACTCCACCATCTCAGCATTGAGGAACGCGCTTTCTGACAAGTGCCCGAAAGCATCGCTCTCCAGGATTTCAACTTCCATTTCTGGATATTTTTGACGAGGCTTGTAGGGGTCGCGCTGGGGTCACTCTCACGGAAGAGGCTAAAGTTGCGGTGTGTTCGCCGTTCGGCGCGCAGTGCCTTTGTTGCATGAGCCTTTTCTGGGACAAGTGCCATGGAGCCTTTTTAAACACGTAACCGACATATTGGCGCCTTAGTGACCCTCCTCGTCGTATTTTCCTCGGCGCTCCATCCCCCACCTTCCCTGATAAGCCTCGCATCGCGAGGTCATCGCAGTTCCTGTCTGACCCTGGGCATGGTCTTTCGTCTTGTCATATAAGGCTTGCCCTGCAGCAGCCAATGGAGGCAGATCCCTGTCTCTCGCAACTGTGCTCTTTGGACGGCTTCGCAGATGGTACTCGCCACGCTCATGTTCACGAATTCCATTGATCCTCATTTCCCCCTCCCGCTTTTTTGCAGAAGGGATAGAGGGGAAAGGATAGGGCTAGGTGGAAGGAAGCAGGACCTCGCATGCCCCTCATGCGCACCTGTTTAAGTCAGCCCCTTTTCAAGCAAACAAAGCTCTGCGCACGTTTCAAGCCAGCGGGCGCAAGCAAGCCGAACCTGGTGCAGGCGACGATCGGGCAACGGGTGAGACACGCTGGGAGCAACTGCTTGCGTTCAGGCGATGCCGTCTGGGGAGCAGCGGTGCCGATTGTCTTCCCGCTTCCCTGTAACGACCTGGTCCACCAGTGGTGGGTTGACCCGGCCCGTCCTCCTGCTGCAGGTCTCGATATCCGCTCGTGCTGGAAGCTGCTGGCGCAGCCCGGCGTGTCGCCGTGCCCAGAGCGGCTGCCGCGCTGCTTCGGCCGCTGATCCCGGGCACCCATAGCTGTCCCTCGCGGGTCGGGGGCGGCCAAGAGGGTGTGATGACTGGGGGAGGGGGTGGATCTCATGGTGGGGGTCAGGATATCTCCCTAGATCCTAGATTTCATGGCGCCTCTTCTTATTTCATTACCCTTGGGCCGCGCACATGCCGCTGGCCATGATTTGCGCCCCCCCCTCTTGGACGCCCCCCTCTTGGCCGCCCCCGAGGGGAGGGCGATCACAAGGTGGACAATCGCAGAAGAAGAAAAGCGGGTGAGCGAGGGTGGGCCTGTCATGCTTCTCAGGCCTTGGACGTGGCCCACGGCTGAGGCTGGAAGTGTCCACGGTCCCCCCCAGGATTTCATCGTCCTCCTCCTCCTCCTCCTCGCCCTCCCCCGCTCCCCCCCTCGCTGCAGAACAGAGGATGTAAACATCGGCCTCCCAAGAGATGGTGCGGTTTTTTGGTTCAGGGTTTCCAGAACCAGGCAAATGAGCAACACCCCGCCCTCCCCTGCAATTAAAGGCTGGCACGTTTGCGCACTTCCGCTCGGACACTCAGTCTCGGCATGTCCGAAACCAGGATTGCATTCGGGGGGAAAGGTGGGGGCAGTTCAGACCACATGTTGTGCGTGAGTGTCGCCTACTTGTTTCTGACACTTGTCGGTTTCCTTTGGGCAACCCTTTTTCTCCATGCGCCCGCCCGCTTGCCTCCTGCTGGCAGCCCCCCCCCCAGCGCCTCGGACGTCGCGGCCATGGCCTCTTTGCTGCGGGCGTTCGTTCCCCACCACGACGTCCCCGAGGCGCAGCGCTTCCTGGACGAGTGGGCGCGGCAGAACAGGCGGCGCCACGGTTGCCGGGATCACTGGGTGCGGGCGTCGTGTCACCTGTGCCGCCCGTGTGCGCGGGGCGCCGTCCCAGCAGAGAGAGCTCCTCGACAGCCTGCAGCAGCTGCGGCGCTGACGCCAAGATCGATCTCGCACTGCCCTGCGCTTAGAGCAGAACAGCAAGCACATAAACATACACTGTCAGCGCTCCCCGCGGATTGGATCGGCGCTGGTCCCCCCCTGGCGGCGCGTCCGCCGCCGCCCCTGGCGCGATCCGCGCGCCAGGGCAGGGGGGCCCGCGCGGATTCAAAAAATCCACGCGGACCGCCGGGCGTGCATGTTTGTGGGGTTTTCTGCTCTCTGTCCGTAGCCCGGCAGCCCAGGCGCACGGGATGCGGCTCGGGCGGGGAGTTCCGCGATTCGCTCGCTCCGTGGTGGGTCGCCCGAGCTCGTCGGCCCGCCGCGGGCGATGAGGAGCGTGGTGAGGGGGCGCCCTGGCGAGCGGGCGCGCCGCCGGGGTCGCCTCGCAGCCCTGGGGCCAAAGGGAGGCCACGGATGTTGGGATGGGCATGCGTCCATGAATCGGCCCCCCTCTTTAGGAAGTTCTTGTTGGTAGGTTTTGCGGCCAGCTTGGGTTCGCCGCATATGTGTTTGTTGTTTGTTGTTTTGTTCTGCTGCTTTACCCGGCTGTGCGAGAACACTTTTGCGTTGTGACGGATGGGTGACTATGGGTCTGTCGTGGGCGGTCGAAGCCAAAGATGGATTCGAAGAAGAAAACCGGCATGAACATATGCGTTCGGTGGTCCGCGCGGGTTCCTTGGATCGGTGCGGGCCCCCCCCTCCCTGGCGCGCGGATCGCGCCAGGGGCGGCGCCGGACGCGCCGCCAGAGGGGCCCAGCGCCGATCCAAGAAATCCACGCGGAGCGCCGAAAATCTACGTGTATGTTTTTTGTTGTTCTTCCATGATGGCCGTGAGGCTGTCGTGGGCGGTCGAAGCGAATGAGGGACGCGGGAGGCAGCGCTCTTCCAGTGACCGGCGGGGAGCGGGGCCGCTTGTCCGCTCGCACTCGCACGATGCTGCGTCGGGGTATTATCCGGTAGCAATTTTGTTGGCCTTGTTTTTGTCCTCGCAGTGACGTCTTTAGCGTGATGTCCGATTCGCAAGAGCCAACAAGATGCCATGGGAGGCTCCCGTGAGCTGCCACCGAACATGGGGCTGTCGTGCGGGGTCGAAGCCAGTGAGGGGCGCGGGAGCGCGCTCTTCTTGTGGCCGGCGGGGAGCGAGCGGGGCCGCTTGACAGGCTTGGGCGGGACATCGCCTGGCACTCGCACGAGGTTGCGCCATGCTGAGTCAGGGGGTCGGCTCCAGGCGCGCCTCGTTCCGTAGCCAGTTTGGCTCAGGCATCGGGCCCCCCCCTCCCCCTTTTCTGCCGAGGCCCTCACCCCCCCTGCTGCGTGCCGCAGCGTGGCCCTTGCCAGGCATGGCCCTGCGGCAGCCGCGCTCGCGTGGGGCCTGCTCGTCGGCTGCGCCGCGCCCGTGGAGGGCGGCCTGAAGAGGGGCTCGCGCTTCGCGCTTCCGCCATGTTGCGAACGAGCCACGCCGCCTGACTGGTGGTTTGAACCGCCTCAGCGGCCTCGAGTACCTCCTGAGCGGCTACGGCATCTTCTTCGGGAGCAGGGCCCCCACGAACGGCGCCGTCGACACGGGTTTCCGGGGCAAGGTGTTCAAGGAGGACCACGCCCGCAGCAACCTTTTGCCGGACCGCACGGCGGTTCCTGACGGGGTCTCCGCGCTGATGTGCGAATCCTCGTGCTCCTTGCTCTCGACGACGAAGTCGATCAAGAGCCTGAAGGACTTTCACAGCTTCTTCTCAATGAATGTGTAAGTGTACGTCGGGTTCGGAGACATCGCCAAATTTTCGGCGTCTGCGGACTACAACCGTGTCAGGGAGGACTTCGAGACTCACGATAGCGTCTACACCACTGTCACTGCCTACTGCTGCGCATACGAGGCGTTCCTCCACGTTCGAGCCCCCGCCTTTCGACGACAACTTCTTGGCGGCCGTGCATGCGGCTCCAGAAGTTTACGATCAAGACTTCCACTTCGCACTTATGGGAAGTTTTGGAACGCATGTTCTGTCAAGTGCTCAAATGGGTAGTAAGTACGGCGAGGAGAGCCATTTCACACGCGACCAGTACAACAAAATGACGGCAACGAATCGCAACTGGTCAATCATGGCGCGGGCTTCTTTCATAGTTTCTGTCAAGACGAGCATCGCGCATGGAGCCGACATAGTGTCGACAAAGCACTTCGAGAAGTTTAGCACTGATACCTTGAAGTACTCGCTGGGGGCAACGCCAGCAAATTGGGACCCTGAGGATTGGCTGTCGGCAGCGCTTACGAGGAAGCCAGTACCCAGCTTGATGAAGCTCAAACCGCTGAGCGAGGTATTCACGGCACTTAATTTCCCGAACCAGTCGAGCGCGACGAAGCTCAAAACAATGAGAAGACAAACATTGAAATTGCCCTGAAGGAGAACTGCCCAGAGAAGCTGCTGAAGGAGTGGAAGGTTGACAGCTGCACGAAGGTCATCAACTACACCGAGATGACAGCTGACGACAAGACCTGCCTCGTCAAGGTCTGGGGCGGAGGTGGCCCCAACGGCCTGCCTTTCGACGACTCCACCGAGATGGTCGAGATCAACAGGCTGTTCTCAAGCCTCCAGGTGTCGCAGATCAAATGCGGCCGCCACCGCTGGGTGGACAGTATCCAGCTTGAGCTGGGTCTGGGCGACACCAAGTGGTCCCTGCCAGAGCATGGCGGGAAGGGTGGCGCGACAGACACGCTGACCTTTTCGGAGGACCAGAGAATCGTCGCCGTCGACCTGAGGTGCGAGAGGTACATCGACAACGTCAGCTTCTGGACGGACGACGGCATGGAGCACGTCGTCGGCGGCCCTGGCGGGAGCTATAGAGGACTGTGGTCTTCAAGGAGGCCGTCAGGAACGCGACCGGACGCCTCCCCGAGAGCGCGTGGCTGGTGGGCCTGTACGGCCACTCCGACCAGTACGTGGACTCCCTCGGCTTCTACGTGGCCTAGGTCGAATTCGACAGGGCGCCGCAAAAAGAGCATAAACAGACATGTTGCCTAACTACTCTGAGGGGTCCGCCAAAACTGGAACAGGAATTTGGGAGAGCCTTTGTCGGTGAAGTTACGACGTCATCCACGCCGGGAACATTGGACCAAGCAGTCGGGGCAGTCGCAGATGCTATGCGTGAAGCGTCCAAGGTTGCAGTGCGGCCTCAAGCGCGGCCAGGTCGAGCAGGCGGGTTGCTGAAGCATGCGTCCTGCATTAATCGCGCGGAAATTTTGATGGATAGCGAGATCCCCAAATAGATAGGGAAATCCACAGCGAGAGCGTGATTCCTGATTGGGGGTGCGACGTCAGAGTAGATTGCGAGGGGGTCCCACGGGATAGCGCGATTCCAGCATAAATTGTGAAGAAATCCTTCGCGAAAGCGCGATTTTTCATATACAGAATGAGGAAGTATCAGGCGGGAGCCGCTGTTGTTGTAAATTGGGGGCAACGGGCCTGGGTGCCACGGGCCCAGCATGATGACGCATTTGAGCCGAAAACTACAATGGCTACCACGCAGGGGGATCTACAATTGTAAGATGTAAGAATGAGAACCAATACTAATAATAATAATGATACTAATAATACTAACATCAACAACAACCACAACAACAACAACAACAACCATTTTAAGGCTGTACGCTCTTACTTGCCCGCGAGTCATTCAACACGTATACCCTACACCCTCGAAACCCGCCCTCTTCGTCTTCGATCACACCCCTTTCGGGGGGATTATTTCTCTTTGCTGGGGCCGGCGGGCTTAGACGTACGGGCAAACCGGAACGGGCGGACAATCCTTCGGGGGCGTACATCTCTCTGCCCGCCATTGGAATTGGCGCGGGCCCTGCAAGAGGAGGAGGGGAAGAACGAGGGAGAGTGGGAGGAAGGGGAGGGGGAAGGACGAAGGAAGAGGGAAGATACCACGTTGTGAAGGCGTCCTTGGCGCGCGCGTGGTTCCTGAGCGCCGAAACGCAATTCCATAATAATTTGTGAGGACGTCGCACGCGAGAGCGCAGTCCTGAGTACATTGTGAGGAAATCTCGGGCGGAAGCGGGGGCCCTGACTAAGTTGCGAGGAAGTCTCAAGCGGGAGCGCCGTTCCTGAGCAAATTGCACGGAAGTCTCAGGCGGGAGCGGGGGTCCTCACTAAATTGCGAGGAAGTCTCAGGCGGGAGCGCCGTTCCTGAGTCAATTGCGTGGAAATGTCAGGCAGGAGCGGGGGTCCTGAGTAAAATTCGAAGAAGTCTCAGGCGGGAGCGCCGTTCCCACGTAAATTGCACGGAAGTCTCAGGCGGGAGCGGGGGTCTTGATTACATTGCGAGGAAGTCTCAAACGGGAGCGCCTTTCCTGAGCAAATTGCGCGGAAGTCTCAGGCGGGAGCTGGGGTCCTGAGTAAAAATCGAGGAAGTCTCAGGCGGGAGCCGTTGTTGTTGTAGCCCGGGGGGCAGGGGCACAGTTTGAGCAGGAAGACTTTCTTTGAGAAAAAACTAGGTGCGAGCCCCGCGGGTGGCACTTCAATAAAAAAAAACAATGTGCACCGGTGGGGGGGATCAACAATAATTATTCTTCAAGAATGAGAGTTCAACAACAACAAACCATACTCAGTTTAGTGTTCGCTCTTATCTGCTCGAGTGTCCGCCAACGCGCAAACCCTCGATACCCGCCCTTTTCGTCTTCGATCGTACCCCTTTGGGGGGATATGTTTCTTCCATGCAGGCCGGGCCCAGGCAAACGGCGGAGCGGCCGCGGACCGTCGGCCTGGCCAGCGCAGCGCTGATCGGCGGCAGCCCGACCCCAAAAGGGACAGACAGGGGACCGACCACGACGACGACGACGACGACGTCGACGACGACGACGACGACGACGACGACGAGCGAAAGCGAGAGCGCGAGCGAGAACAAGAGCGATAGCGGGGCCACGAAGGGCAGGAAGGGGGCCACAAAGGGCGACAGCGGGGCCACGAAGGGCATGCGCGTGGGGTCACGAAGGGCGCAAACGAGCGGAGGCCACAAAGGCCAGATAATGCGGGGCCACAGAGGGCAACGACGGAGCCACTGAGGGTAGCAACGGGGCCACGTAGGGCAGCGCGGAGGCTACAAAGGGCGACGGCGGGGCCACGAAGGGCATGCATACGAGGCCGCGACGGGCGCGAACGAGCGGGGGCCACGAAGGGCGTGCGTGCAGTGGGCCACAGAGGGCAAGGACGGGGCCACTGAGGGCAGCAACGGGGCCACGAAGGGCAGCGAACGGGCCGCGAAAAGCGACAGCGGGGCCACGAAACGCATGCATATGGGGCCACGACAGGCGCGAACAAGCGGGGGCCACGAAGGGCATGCATATATGGGGCTAAGGGGGCCACGAAGGCTTGCAACGGGGCCACGAAGGGCTGCAACAGGGCCACGAAAGGCAGCGAGGGAGCAACGACGGGCTGCAACGGGGCCACGAAGGGCAGCGAGGGGGCCACGAAGGGCAGCGAGGGGGCCGCGACGGGCTGCAACGGGGCCACGAAGGGTAGCGAGGGGGCCACGAAGGGCTGCAACGGGGCCACGAAGGGCAGCGAGGGGGCCACGAAGGGTTGCAAAGGGGCCACGGGGGCCACGAAGGGCAACGAAGGGGCCACAAAGGGCAGCGATATTCTGATTCTTAAATTAATTGTGAGGGGGACCTAAGCGTGCGCGCGACTCCTGAGTGCCTGAGTGTCGGGAGCGCGGCGCTTGAGTAAATTGCATGGGAATCCAATGCACAAGCGCGATGGGTTAAGTAACTTGCAAGCAAGTCTCCAACGAGAGCGCGACTCCAGAGCGCAGGGAAAGCGACCCCTTAGTAAAGAGCAAGGAAGTCCCAAGCGAGAGCGCGATTCCTGGGTAACATGCGAGGAAGTCTCAGGCGGGAGCGGGGGCCCGGGCTAAATTCTGAGGAAGTTTCAGGCGGGAGCCATTGTTGTTGTAATCCAGGTGCCAACAACATAGCTTGAGCCCCGTGACGTTCCCTGAAAAACAGTGTGCGAGCCACGGAGGAAACATTTCAATTGAAACAACACAAGTGTCACCGGAGGGGGGATCAACCATAACTATTCTTCAGTGGTGGAACCTCAACAACAGCAACAACCACAACCACAACAACAACAGCAGCATGTTTAAGACTGTTCGCCCTTATATGCTCGAGCGTCCAATAACGCGTATTTCCCAAACTCTCGATACCCGCCCTCTTCGTCTTCGATCGAAACCCTTTTGGGGGGTATACTTTTCTTCCCTGCAGGCCGGGCCCCGGCAAGCGGCGGGGCGGCCGCGGACCGTCGGCCTGGCCAGCGGCAGCGCTGATCGGCGGGGCGGCCGCGGACCGTCGACCCGACCCCAAGAGGGACGGACAGGGGACCGACACGACGACGACGACGACGACGACGACGTCGAAGACGACGACGACGACGACGACGACGACGGCGACGACGAGCGAAAGCGAGAGCGAGAGAAACGACAGCAGGGCCACGAAGGGCACGAAGTAGGCCACGAAGGGCGACAGCGGGGACACGAAGGGAATGCGTATGGGGCCACGAAGAGCGCGAACGAGCGGGGGCCACGAAGTGCAGATAATGCGGGGCCACAGAAGGCAACTATGGGGCCACTGAGGGTAGCAACTGGGCCACGTAGGACAGTGAGGGGGACACAAATGGCGACAGCGGGGCCATGAAGGGCATGCACATGGGGCCACAACGGGCGCGACTCCTGGGTGCCTGGGTGTCGGGAGCGCGGCGCCTGGGCAAATTACAAGAAATTCCAACGCAAGGCCATTCTTCAGTAAGTTGCAAGCAAAATCTCCAGCGAGAGCGCGACTCCAGAGCGCCGGGGGAGCGATTCCTGAATAAATTGTAAGGAAGTCCCAAGCGAGAGCGCGATTCCTGAATGGAATGCGAGGAAGTCTCGGGCGGGAGCGGGGGTTCTGGCTAAATTGCAAGGAAGTCTCAAGCGGGAGCCGTTGTTGTTGTAACCCGGGGGCCAGGGGGCCAGTTTGAGCAGGAAGGTTTTCCTTGTCAAAAAAACAGGGTGCGAGCGTCGAGGGGCACACTTTGATGTAGAAAAAACAATATGCACCGGTGTGGGGATCAACAATATTTTTTCTTCGGACATGAGAATTCAACAACAACAGCAACAGCAACAGCAACAGCAGCAGCAACAGCAACAGCAACAGCAGCAACAGCAGCAGCAGCAGCAACAGCAACAGCAACAGCAAAAGCAACAGCAGCAACAACCACAACAGCAACAACCACAGCAACAACAACAACAACAGCAACAACGACAACGACGACGACGACAGTAAACACCAACAGCAACAACGGCATCAGCATCAGCATCAAAATCAACATTCATATCAACATCCACATCAGCATCACATCGTCGTCACTAACGGTTTCAACAGAATGTCTACCACCGCCACCAATATCACAATCATTCCTCCTCCTCCTTCTCCTCCTCCTCATCCTTCCGTAGCCATTTTGGCTCAAGCCATTTTGGCTCAAGGAGCCTGCTCCTGAACTTCCAACCTCTCTCGAGGCGCCTGGTGGCCAGGCACCAAGGCCTGGAGCGGACGCGCTCCCCTGGCCCGCCGTGGCCGCGCTCGCTCGTGCCTGCGGCTCCCCTCCCGCAATGCCGTCCGAGGGCGGCGACTCGTGGCCTGTGTCTCTCTCGTCCACTCCTCCCGCCTCCCCTGGTGGGATGAGTACGCCCCCGCCGGCGCCTGGAGGTACATGCGTGGAGGGTAAGCGGGACACCGAGCAGATCCTTGCCGCCATGCGTGATATGATTGCTCCTCTGTCGTCGTCAGTCGCAAGCCTGTCCAGTCAGTTGAATCTCGGCGTTCAGGAGATCAACCAGCAGATTTCGGGAATCCAGGGTCAGATGATCGCCGCTGAGAAGAATTTCCAGACATTACAACAGGCGCACACTGAATTGGCCAAACAGACGGCTGCAAACTTCGAGCAGATGCGAGCGATCCATGAACAGGCTCTTCTTCAGTGCATTC